AAACTTGAGGTAGTCTTTATAGCAATAATTTCCTTTTCAGTTGGGAAAAAAGAGTTTTCTTATATTGCTGTTAATATTTCAGCAACAGGGGGTAACATTGTGAATAGACAGCTGTAGATAAACCTGTGCACTATTAAAGTGATTTTAAAATGTTGTTGAGTTAAAAACTACAGTTGTATTTTTTTTTGTGCAATCGAAAGTTAATGTTTTGTACTTAATTGTTTGTCTGTTTATCAGTGCCAGTGTTGTACACTTATTATATGGTCCCCAGGCTCAGAAGGAACTGTTATAATGTCAGATTCATGGCAATGGCAGCTACATTTGAAGTAATGCAGGATTAAAAAGCCTACTTGACCTTGTCATGTTGTTGTATAATAGAAATGGTGGCACATGAGTCTGGGTATAAAAGGTTGTGCCATGTACTTCAGTATGGAAGCTTAAACAGGATGGTTGTGTTTATGTTAAAGGCACACGCTAGATGGTGGGTTGGTAGTCAAGTAATAATAATAACAACAATAATAATAATAGTAATAATAATAATAATAATAATAATAATAATAATAATAATTTACATTTAAATAGCACAAACCTCTATATGAATATATTCGGTTGCGCTTTACAATATTGTTATATTAATTTATGTTTTAGGTGACTTAAGTGTGAGAAACTATTAAAAACTACAATAAAAAGTATTAAAAACTATAAAAAAACCTACAATAAAAGCCAACAATTAAATCTATTTTAAAAGCTAAATTTAAAAAATGAGTTTTAACAGCAGTCTTAAAAGTGTCCCATGTCTTCATGTTATGAATATTGCCGAAGGCAATGCATTCCAGAGATAAAGTGCAGTTGACTGGAATGCACAATCGCCAAGTGTGTCACAAGTTGTATTTAAGTTTCTTTAACCCTTAAAAATATTGTTTACCCCTCTTAATGTTAAAATGACCATTATTAAAATTATGGTCGAGTTCCTGAGCATTATTATACACCAACAAACAAAGCGAGGTTTCAAAATGCAGCATTTATTTTGAAGATTTAAATTAACACCCAGCACACAGTTGGCTGTCAGTTCCTTGCACATTGAATGCTGACAAAACGAAAGCCACAGTTTCTTGTAATTTATAAAAGCTGTTTTCTTACTGAAGCATTCCTCCACTCCAGTGTAGTTTTTAATATTTTAGTATCTGGCATGCATGCACTTCCAAACTCCATTATATGTTTGTCCGTGACCATGAAACAAGATGTTAAGTAATCTTGTGTTTCTTGAATGTACGTGATGACTTTCATTGTGCTGTAGATGTTAGCTAACTTTCTACATAAATCACTTCTTCTTTGATTTTGTTTCCAATCCTAAAGTTCTAAAATTCAAAAGAAAACAACAGAGCTAAGTGTTAATAGTGATTCTCTATTTCACACTATAAAATAATGCCTATTACAAACACCAGCAGCTATGTAGGGTAATCATGCAAACATTGCCAGGAGTCAAGGGTAAAATCTATGCAAAGGCACCCCAAGGTTACTAATACTCAAACCGCATTATGATATTGGGGTGTGTACACATTCATAGGGACATCTAAAGACTGGATTTTGCATATTCCTACATGTTGTGTTAAATTCAAAAGGCAGGGTTTGTTTACAATCAACTGTGTTCAGCCACCTTTAAACAGGGTCAGGATTTGACCTGGGGGTGGGGAGAGGGGTACTCCCCATTATGTCCTACTATACAGGGAGGCTCTGCCTGAAAGGGGTACCTTTTTCAGGCTTGAGGTATATGAAGGGGTAGGGATTTCACTTGTTAAAGAATATAAAAGGCTAGGGGAATCTGCCATTTGGGTCTGTAAAAGGGCATACAAGGGCTAACAGATAAATTCTATGGCTTTATTAAGTCAAGAAAATGTTCTAATTTTGTGATTAATTCCATGTAAAAGTTGCTGCATTTACAGCCATTAAAAGGGATGCAAACTTCTAAACAAGGTATGTAAAAGGGGTACCATTTGCCAAAAGAAGGTATATCAAAGGGGTACCTTTTTCATGAAAAATGGTATATAAAAGGGTAAGGGGTTGGACCTTGGGGCAGAGCTTCCCTGCATAAACATTTGTAAACACTCCCATAAAACATTACTTACTCTTCTAAATCATCAGCCTCCCGAACATTCAACATTAGTGCTCCAGAATCCAAGAACACCATATTTTGTGAGTTTGAAATCTGGGAAGAAAATTCCATGAATCAGGTGCTGGATTATTACCAAATACATGGTTGAGGGTTCATACAACTTCATGCAGGCAAACAAGTTTAAAGGATTTTTCAAGGACAAATCACAGTTTTCAAGGACTAAGATTTATGTAATAAATCGGCATTCTTTAACCCCCTTTTGATCACACAGTTGGGTAAATCACATCATGGAGTCATTTATGATTTTTACTTCTTTGGCCAACGTTGAGCATACTATTTTACACTCCTTTCGGCAACAACACTTTGCAAAATGACTTGCACTATTGCTTCTGAAGTAGAATAGCATTTAGAATAAAAAAAAAAAGAAGCAGAAATAAAATATTGTTCATGCATGCATTCCCCATGTTAAGTTAACTTCCTACACTTAAAGTCACACATGTTCCAAAAAAACTTCTTTAAACTTGATAAAAAACTCAGCAGTCTTTTCAAAATAAATAAAATAGGTGGCCTTACTGTATTGGAAACTGTCTGAGCAGCTCGTATCTTCCTGAGTTTGAGGTATCCTGGATTGCCCTTTATAGCATTACCGAGGTGAAAAAATGTCAAGGATTGAACATGATAAAAAATGTTCAAGTAGTTGTCGACAACTTACACAGTACATGTACTTTCAGTTTAATGATAATTATTCAAAGAAACTGATCATTTTTTTTTTCCAAAATTTTTAAACAGCTACTCAGTGACAGTGACGCTAAAGAAGAGAACACCAAAACAGGAGAGATACCAACACATGGAGGTCTAAAACCTGGACACTCTATTTTTATCTTTACCAGCCCCTAAAAAAATAGCAACCAACTACACTACACGACAACCCCAAAATTTGACTTCCACATCTACACCTTTCATAGAATCATCATGCCAAAACAGTCTTTTGCTATTGATAATTATGGTGGTGCGATTGAAAATGTCAATATCAATGAAACTATCACGCCAAACTAATGAGCATAGAAAACATTCCTTTCAATGGTGAAAAGGATATCAAAGTTGCTGCTTTTGCCTCTCCTTCAGCCTGCACAATTTTTTGTTGTCTTTCCTGAATTGCCTTTTCCACATGAAACTGGGCTCTCTGTGCTTCTTGTTGAGCTAAGAGAAATCAAAGAAGTTTGCAACACTGATTTTGAGCAGTTGCTTTGGTTGGTTTTGTTTTATCCTACATACATTATAATAATTATTAAGTTTTTGTTCCTTTCTCTTCAGACGATACGTGCGTGTGGGTGTGGTGAATGGCATAATTTATGCAGTTGGAGGTTATGATGGTAGTGCACATCTAAACATAATGGAGTGCTTTGACCCAATGACAAACACATGGAGAACTGTGGCCAGTATGGCAAGCCGTAGAAGTAGTGCTGGAGTAGCTGTCCTCAATGATATGCTCTATGTTGTAGGTGAGTGGTACAATAGGTATTTTTATTAGTGAGCCCCTGCCAGGGGGGGAGTGGGGGTGCTATGTCGCCTGTCTGAATTTTAAAACATCTCGTGTCGGTGTTTATAAATGCTTGTCGCTTATTGTCGGCTTTGCCGTCATTGTCGCAATTTGGCCAAGGGAGGTTGTCTCTTGTCATGATTTCATTTTACGCGCTGTCGCTACTTTTTGGGCCATGTCGCTTGCTGGAATCTATCCTGGCAGGGCCTCATTAGTGAGTTTACACAATGATGTTTTTGAGTGACACACATTAGCTGGAAGTGAACTATTTTCATTCTTGAGGAGTGGTTTTACCTAAATGTTTGATCATATTGAGACTAAAGTCACGTAGCAATACGAATTTGGAAATGCTATGGAAAATAAATAGACAATAACAGGGGCTCGACACTTCCAGATGATGTGCATTGCTCAAAAGCACCTTTGCCTAAGCTCCCTATTATCACTGCCAACTTTTTGTTAATTGCTTCTTAAAGTATGGAGTGAAAAAGAAGGGGTTAAAAATAGGTGCCTGGAAATATAGAGCTGTGAATGTTTTGTGATGAAATGCTAGATTCTCCTAACAATAACCTTGTATTTACTTGTAATCAAAGGGAGAATTTGGTATTACGTCAGGAGTCCTCTAAGGCCTTAATCCATGCACCCCTTTTAGACTACAGAAATGATACTTCTATTTTTATGGACAGTCATTTCGTCCTGGAGATACTACATTGTAAGCTATAGTAACATTAGACACCTACATAATGCTGACTCTTGGTTCTGTCCAGGGTTCTCTGGAAGCTCTGGCAACCTGCAAAAATGGCCATCTACTCAACACGGAAGTGTCAGAAGCTTGTTTTTCTTGGTTTTTTTCAGTGGGATATTAATAAATCCATTCTACTTCTGTTTATTTTGTTTCCCAATTTATTTGTTCAATAAAAACAAACATATTCATGACACTAAGTACGTACATATGGCAAAGATTGGTATTAATAGGTGCCACCCTCTTTGATAATTTTTTTTCTCTGGTCACTCAAAGTGCATGCACTGAAATGCATTTTCAGGCACCCAAAAATTCAGATACTGTATTACAAGACTTCCAGAGTTCCCTAGTGAAAGTGTAGCCTTCATCCTGTACCTAGCCATCCCCCACACTGCTGTGTGCTTTGAAAGACATACCTTTGGATCTATTTATCAGCTGCTGCCTTCTTAATATATTCTTTTCTCCCTTTACACTTAAAATTAATTTTCGATAGAACCCCCGCTACACTGTAAGTTTAGTTGCATTTTCCCATCAAGAAGAGATAGGAGGGAGATCAAGCAAGTAAAGGCAGTGCAAGGTCAAATGAGAACGCAAAAGCACATACTGAATGTGTCATGTCCAGGACTCAGTTTGTTGCTCTGCTGTTGGTCAAGCCAGTTTTTAGCTGTCATTACCTTTGTTGTGTCCTCTTTGAAAAATCTCCCTTATTCAATTTACCAGTACAGTCTCAGATAATCAAATTAGAATAACTCATTCAGTTCACAACCGCACATAGCAAAATATATAGTACATAGTCTTCATCCTGATTTTAGTAGCCCTGTCTTTATGTATGGAACATGGCCCCGATAAAATGTGAACCCCCTTCACAATATATTTTTTTTCTCCTCAGGTGGAAATGATGGGGCATCATGTCTAAACACAATGGAACGTTACGATCCTGTGGCTGACTCATGGACTTGCCTTGCTCCGATGAACACTCGCCGCAGCACTCACGATGTGGCAGTTATTGATGGAACTCTATATGCCGTCGGAGGCAATGATGGCAGCTCAAGTTTGAACAGTATCGAAAAGTATGATCCAGAGAACAATAAATGGACTTCTGTTGTGTCTATGAGCACTAGGAGAAGTAGTGTTGGAGTTGTGGTTGCACAAGTTTTGCTACTGTGAGGAAAGAGTAACAAGGCTGATTCCACAGTAGAGCATTATTTTTCAGTCTGTGTACAATATCATAGTTCTGCTGCTTAACTGTCAAGCGGGATTAGAGAAGTACAATGTACCTGCACTTATGGATTTTCAACAATGAACTAAGATCATGTGTATGAAGTGAAAATAATACTGAAGTTGATAAAATTTGTTCAAAATTAAGTCAAGTATAGTATCTACATGACTGTATAGCACTTTACTTAGGCATCAGTGTATGTAGCAGGAAATTGTAACATTGAGTACACTAGTGTTATGTCTGCTACTGGGGTGGTACCAACCTTTCAGCGCCATTTCCAGGGCAAAGGCAGTACTTTCATTTCTCAATATTTTAAGACCCTGAGTGTTGGTCAGGCCTTGGGGATCGAACTTGTTAACTACCATTCTGCAGTCAAGTACTCTACAGACTGAGCCAGTCCTGGTTCAGTATGACATACAGTGACCCTCAAGTTCTTACAAAATGGGCTGAAAAGACACATGGCTTTTAAGATCAGTAGAATTCTAGGAAATTCTACACATGGGCCATGAGGAAAGGATTCCATAAATGAACTGCAGGGAAAAAGAAATACTGAAGTGCACAAGGAGTGATGTGATGTATTTTTTCTATTATCTTGATTCCTTATTATTGAAATCATAAGGGGTATTTTCAATGGTCAGTAAAATGGATGACCCATAAAGCATGGAAAATGGTGGAAGAAAAACTTGAGGTAGTCTTTATAGCAATAATTTCCTTTTCAGTTGGGAAAAAAGAGTTTTCTTATATTGCTGTTAATATTTCAGCAACAGGGGGTAACATTGTGAATAGACAGCTGTAGATAAACCTGTGCACTATTAAAGTGATTTTAAAATGTTGTTGAGTTAAAAACTACAGTTGTATTTTTTTTTGTGCAATCGAAAGTTAATGTTTTGTACTTAATTGTTTGTCTGTTTATCAGTGCCAGTGTTGTACACTTATTATATGGTCCCCAGGCTCAGAAGGAACTGTTATAATGTCAGATTCATGGCAATGGCAGCTACATTTGAAGTAATGCAGGATTAAAAAGCCTACTTGACCTTGTCATGTTGTTGTATAATAGAAATGGTGGCACATGAGTCTGGGTATAAAAGGTTGTGCCATGTACTTCAGTATGGAAGCTTAAACAGGATGGTTGTGTTTATGTTAAAGGCACACGCTAGATGGTGGGTTGGTAGTCAAGTAATAATAATAACAACAATAATAATAATAGTAATAATAATAATAATAATAATAATAATAATAATAATAATTTACATTTAAATAGCACAAACCTCTATATGAATATATTCGGTTGCGCTTTACAATATTGTTATATTAATTTATGTTTTAGGTGACTTAAGTGTGAGAAACTATTAAAAACTACAATAAAAAGTATTAAAAACTATAAAAAAACCTACAATAAAAGCCAACAATTAAATCTATTTTAAAAGCTAAATTTAAAAACTGAGTTTTAACAGCAGTCTTAAAAATGTCCCATGTCTTCATGTTATGAATATTGCCAAAGGTAATGCATTCCAGAGATAAAGTGCAGCTGACTGGAATGCACAATCGCCAAGTGTGTCACAAGTTGTATTTAAGTTTCTTTAACCCTTAAAAATAAATTATTGTTTGCCCCTCTTAATGTTAAAATGACCATATGGTCAAGTTCCTGAGCATTATTATACACAAACAAACAAAGCGAGGTTTCAAAATGCAGCATTTATTTTGAAGATTTAAATTAACACCCAGCACACAGTTGGCTGTCAGTTCCTTGCACATTGAGTGTTGACAAAAAGAAAGCCACAGTTTCTTGTAATTAATAAAAGCTGTTTTCTTACTGAAGCATTCCTCCACTCCAGTGTAGTTTCTAATATTTTAGTATCTGACATGCATGCACTTCCAAACTCCATCATAAGTTTGTCCGTGATCATGAAACAAGATGTTGAGTAATCTTGTGTTTCTTGAATGTACGTGATGACTTTCATTGTGCTGTAGATGTTAGCTAACTTTCTAAATAAATCACTTCTTCTTTGATTTTGTTTCCAATCCTAAAGTTCTAAAATTCAAAAGAAAACAACAGAGCTAAGTGTTAATAGTGATTCTCTATTTCACACTATAAAATAATGCCTATTACAAACACCAGCAGCTATGTAGGGTAATCATGCAAACATTGCCAGGAGTCAAGGGTAAAATCTATGCAAAGGCACCCCAAGGTTACTAATACTCAAACCGCATTATGATATTGGGGTGTGTACACATTCATAGGGACATCTAAAGACTGGATTTTGCATATTCCTACATGTTGTGTTAAATTCAAAAGGCAGGGTTTGTTTACAATCAACTGTGTTCAGCCACCTTTAAACAGGGTCAGGATTTGACCTGGGGGTGGGGAGAGGGGTACTCCCCATTATGTCCTACTATACAGGGAGGCTCTGCCTGAAAGGGGTACCTTTTTCAGGCTTGAGGTATATGAAGGGGTAGGGATTTCACTTGTTAAAGAATATAAAAGGCTAGGGGAATCTGCCATTTGGGTCTGTAAAAGGGCATACAAGGGCTAACAGATAAATTCTATGGCTTTATTAAGTCAAGAAAATGTTCTAATTTTGTGATTAATTCCATGTAAAAGTTGCTGCATTTACAGCCATTAAAAGGGATGCAAACTTCTAAACAAGGTATGTAAAAGGGGTACCATTTGCCAAAAGAAGGTATATCAAAGGGGTACCTTTTTCATGAAAAATGGTATATAAAAGGGTAAGGGGTTGGACCTTGGGGCAAAGCTTCCCTGCATAAACATTTGTAAACACTCCCATAGAACATTACTTACTCTTCTAAATCATCAGCCTCCCGAACATTCAACATTAGTGCTCCAGAATCCAAGAACACCATATTTTGTGAGTTTGAAATCTGGGAAGAAAATTCCATGAATCAGGTGCTGGATTATTACCAAATACATGGTTGAGGGTTCATACAACTTCATGCAGGCAAACAAGTTTAAAGGATTTTTCAAGGACAAATCACAGTTTTCAAGGACTAAGATTTATGTAATAAATCGGCATTCTTTAACCCCCTTTTGATCACACAGTTGGGTAAATCACATCATGGAGTCATTTATGATTTTTACTTCTTTGGCCAACGTTGAGCATACTATTTTACACTCCTTTCGGCAACAACACTTTGCAAAATGACTTGCACTATTGCTTCTGAAGTAGAATAGCATTTAGAATAAAAAAAAAAAGAAGCAGAAATAAAATATTGTTCATGCATGCATTCCCCATGTTAAGTTAACTTCCTACACTTAAAGTCACACATGTTCCAAAAAAACTTCTTTAAACTTGATAAAAAACTCAGCAGTCTTTTCAAAATAAATAAAATAGGTGGCCTTACTGTATTGGAAACTGTCTGAGCAGCTCGTATCTTCCTGAGTTTGAGGTATCCTGGATTGCCCTTTATAGCATTACCGAGGTGAAAAAATGTCAAGGATTGAACATGATAAAAAATGTTCAAGTAGTTGTCGACAACTTACACAGTACATGTACTTTCAGTTTAATGATAATTATTCAAAGAAACTGATCATTTTTTTTTTCCAAAATTTTTAAACAGCTACTCAGTGACAGTGACGCTAAAGAAGAGAACACCAAAACAGGAGAGATACCAACACATGGAGGTCTAAAACCTGGACACTCTATTTTTATCTTTACCAGCCCCTAAAAAAATAGCAACCAACTACACTACACGACAACCCCAAAATTTGACTTCCACATCTACACCTTTCATAGAATCATCATGCCAAAACAGTCTTTTGCTATTGATAATTATGGTGGTGCGATTGAAAATGTCAATATCAATGAAACTATCACGCCAAACTAATGAGCATAGAAAACATTCCTTTCAATGGTGAAAAGGATATCAAAGTTGCTGCTTTTGCCTCTCCTTCAGCCTGCACAATTTTTTGTTGTCTTTCCTGAATTGCCTTTTCCACATGAAACTGGGCTCTCTGTGCTTCTTGTTGAGCTAAGAGAAATCAAAGAAGTTTGCACTCAGTATTAAGTTGTACCTTTAATATAAAATTTGCTTATGAATAGTTCTCTCCACTGAGGAATGGAAATACTGGAGGAGAAAAAATTAGGAAGGAGGTGCATTTTTTGCAGGGGGGAGGGGTACAGGGGGTTAAGACCTAATGGCACAAAGAGACACCATAAACCAAACAAAGGCTTAACATAAGTTAGTTGATAGTCAAGCATTAAAAATTACTATTAAAATAATGAGGAAAATAATGTACTCTGGCAGCTTTCAAAAACAAGTTAAAATAAACGAGGGCAGCCCATAAATGAAATGTAATTTTTCAAGAGCAATAGTTTAATCAAGAGTAATAATTAATACTTTCAAAAAAATCCTTTGTTAGATTTAATATGGCATGGGACGACCTGTCGCTTGTCGTCTGCTTCGTGGCCTAAAATCCTCGCTCCACTCACTTCAAAACTCATGAGGTCAACTTGTGGCGAGTCTAGTATGATGATATTATTATTACTATCTGTAGTTGCTGACTCACCAACTTGTTTTGCTTCAATGGCAGCAGTGTACTCCCGTCCAAAACTCAAGTCTGTCTGGAATAACATTATCATACATACAAATTACAATAATTACAATAATTTCCCACAAAAGACTTTGTTTTTAGTTTCAAAAACATACATCTGGAATGTAAAATCCAACTGACCAGAAACAGGGGCCAGTTTAATAAAACGTTTACAAATTAGTGTTATTTACAAGTGTGGCCATTGTTTTCTGACTCTAAAACAACAGTTACACTAATCTTGTATTATTACACTTGTAAAAGTTTCATTTTACAGTGTAACTGACCACAGAATTTCAATGCCTTTTGTTACTAAGAACCTGGCAAATACATGAAAAATTGATTACAATCTGTCCTCTGAGTGGTTTCATTGAAATACCCTGGTAATATTAATCTATAAATGTGGATATTTTTAAGATTCATGAACTGTGATTTCTTTGGTTTCCTGTGAAAATTTGAGGCCTGTAACATTCCTGCTGCTTTTGTGGCATTACTCTATCACACTGAATGATCAACTTTTGGATTTTTTTTGCCTCTTTCACCAGCGGTGACATCCAATGAATCACTGACAGAAATACACCCTAAGAATCTCAACCACTATCAGCATAAAAGAAAGACTTTAACTTTGAAAAAACCTTACAATTGACACATCATCCAGAATAACATAAAAATCCTTTGCTCGGTCAGTGAGTTGCCTTCTGATCAACAGACTGACCTACAGAAACATAAAACAAAAAATAATAATCATAACAAATAAAAATAAATAAATAAATAAAAAATAGTAGCATACATAAAAAAACAAAACAAAAACAAAACAAAACAAACAGTTTGTAATAGGAAAGAGAAATAATAATGTATGTAAAATATGGCTAATAAAACTTTAAATTAATAGAACAGTGCATGTATTTTGATGAAATCTACATGTACTGCCACTATTAATTTCTGCTGCATGTAAGTTAACTACAGCACCAGCCTCCTCAGCAGGCATCTGGGGAGAGAATGAGGGTTGCTGTGGAGGAGGCTAGTACAGCACTGCAGAGATCTCCACAGCAATAAGGAGACTTACAGCACAGGTGTAGTTCATGTATCTTTAGAGACGAAGCATATTTTTAGTATCCAGTGTCTAAGCTAGACTTTCCCTTTCTCACATGTCAAGAACTTTGTACAATAATCATAGACAAAAGTCTTACGACAAATTCGCATGCATGGCAATATTCAAAACTACAGATGCCCATCCCCTCCCCTACCACATGTATGTGGTTGAACCAATGTACAAGTGTTCACAATAATTTATTTATTTTTCTGGGCCTTCATCACCATGCAGGCTGAGAGCGGGGGAACTGAAGGTACACGTATGACCCTTGCACTATTAATATTCCCACTTTAATTTGCACTGTTTGAGAGACCGATCTATGAGATGCTTACCTCTTGTCGCATTGTAATCAGTTGTGAAGCATTAAACTGGGCCACAACACTTTTCAAAACCTAAGAGTACGTAATAAATGTTACAACAGAAGCAAAGAGCTATTCCGCATGCAGATAGTGTAGGAAAATAATGTACTCTGGCAGCTTTCAAAAACAAGTTAAAATAAACCAGGGCAGCCCATAAATGAAATATAATTTTTCACGAGCAATAGTTTAATCAAGAGTTTCCTTATCAAAATAATTAATACTTTCAAAAAAGTCCTTTTTTAGATTTAATATGGCATGGGACGACCTGTCGCTCGTTGTCTGCTTCGTGGCCTAAAATCCTCGCTCCACTCGCTTCAAAACTCATGAGGTCAACTTGTGGCGAGTCTAGTATAATGATATTATTATTACTATCTGTAGTTGCTGACTCACCAACTTGTTTTGCTTCAATGGCAGCAGTGTACTCCCGTCCAAAACTTAGGTCTGTCTGGAATAACATTATCATACATACAAATTACAATTTTTCCCACAAAAAACTTTGTTTTTAGTTTCAAAAACATACATCTGGAATATAAAATCCAACCGACCAGAAACAGGGGCCAGTTTAATAAAACTTTTACAAATTAGTGTTATTTACAAGTGTGGCCATTGTTTTCTGACTCTAAAACAACAGTTACAATTGTATTATTACACTTGTAAAAGTTTCATTTACAGTATAACTGACCAAGAATTTCAATGCCTTTTGTTACAAAGAACCTGGCAAATACATGTAAAAAACTGATTCAAATCTGTCCTCTGAGTGGTTTCATTGAAATACCCTGGTAATCTATAATTTTATGTAGGTGGATATTTTAAGAATCGTGAACTGTGATTTCTTTGGTTTCCTGTGAAAATTTGAGGCCTGTAACATTCCTGCTGCTTTTGTGGCATTACTCTATCACACTAAATGTTGATCAACTTTTGGATTTTTTTGCCTCTTTCACCATTGGTGACATCCAATGAATCTCTGACAGAAATACACTCTAAGAATCTCAAGTACTATCAGTGTAAAATAAACAACTTTAACTTTGGCAAAATGTGCAACTTACAATTGACACATCATCCAGAATAACATAAAAATCCTTTGCTCGGTCAGTGAGTTGCCTTCTGATCAAAAGACTAACCTACAGAAAAATGAAACAAAAAATAATAATCATAACAAATAAAAATAAATAAACAAAAAATAGTAGCATACATAAAAAAACAAAACAAAACAAAACAAACAGTTTGTAAAAGGAAAGAGAAATAATAATGTATGTAAAATATGGCTAATAGAACTTTAAATTAATAGAAAAGTGCATGTATTTTGATGAAATCTACATGTACTGCCACTATTAATTTCTACTGCATGTAAGTTAACTACAGCACCAGCCTCCTCAGCAGGCATCTGGGGAGAGAATGAGGGTTGCTGTGGAGGAGGCTACTACAGTACTGCAGAGATCTCCACAGCACAAGGAGACTTACAGTACAGGTGTAGCATATGCATCTTTGGAGACCAAGCATATTTTTAGTATCCAGTTTCTGAGCCAGACTTCCCCTTTCTCACATATCAAGAACTTTGTACAGTGATCAAAGACAAAAGTCTTACGACAAATTTGCATGGGTGGCAATAATCAAAACTACACATGCCCATCCCCTCCCCTACCACAATTATATGAAGTTGAACCCATGTACAGGTGTTCACAATAATTTATTTATTTTCCTGGGCCTTCATCACTATGCAGGCTGTGAGGAGTGCAACTGAAGGCACACGTATCAGGGACACCCAACGAGAATATAGTTCAAACCACTTAACCATAGCATTGTTGAACGTATTTTAGTATTTAAACGGTAGATATAGGCATATTTTTATCCCCTAAAAATTTTTCATCTGTTCAGATTTCCTAGCTGAAAGTCAAGTGATCCGAAAATTATACGCATCAAAACTTACCTATTCGGAAATTTCAGCCAGAAAAAAGGTTCCCGAAAATTCTAGGTGACCTTTTTACGGTAAAAATCTGTTAAAAATGGGCAATTATACCATTTTTGGGAGGTTCGAAAACCCCAGGAGAGGCATGCAAGCAAGAAATTTAACAACAAATGTATAGAAAATTCTAGATCTCAAATTGTGCTCCGAACAGATATTTTCCAAAAATTGTCGTTGGGTGCCCCTGAGGTATGACCCTTGCACTATTATTATTCCCACTTTGCACCGTTTGAGTGACTGATCTATAAGATGCTTACCTCTTGTCGCATTGTAATCAGTTGTGAAGCATTAAACTGGGCCACAACACTTTTCAAAACCTAAGAGTACGTAATAAATGTTACAACAGAAGCAAAGAGCTATTCCGCATGCAGATAGTGTTTTTGAATGTACAATGAGTTACAAAAATCTTAAACTCATAACNGAAATAATAATGTATGTAAAATATGGCTAATAAAACTTTAAATTAATAGAACAGTGCATGTATTTTGATGAAATCTACATGTACTGCCACTATTAATTTCTGCTGCATGTAAGTTAACTACAGCACCAGCCTCCTCAGCAGGCATCTGGGGAGAGAATGAGGGTTGCTGTGGAGGAGGCTAGTACAGCACTGCAGAGATCTCCACAGCAATAAGGAGACTTACAGCACAGGTGTAGTTCATGTATCTTTAGAGACGAAGCATATTTTTAGTATCCAGTGTCTAAGCTAGACTTTCCCTTTCTCACATGTCAAGAACTTTGTACAATAATCATAGACAAAAGTCTTACGACAAATTCGCATGCATGGCAATATTCAAAACTACAGATGCCCATCCCCTCCCCTACCACATGTATGTGGTTGAACCAATGTACAAGTGTTCACAATAATTTATTTATTTTTCTGGGCCTTCATCACCATGCAGGCTGAGAGCGGGGGAACTGAAGGTACACGTATGACCCTTGCACTATTAATATTCCCACTTTAATTTGCACTGTTTGAGAGACCGATCTATGAGATGCTTACCTCTTGTCGCATTGTAATCAGTTGTGAAGCATTAAACTGGGCCACAACACTTTTCAAAACCTAAGAGTACGTAATAAATGTTACAACAGAAGCAAAGAGCTATTCCGCATGCAGATAGTGTTTTTGAATGTACAATGAGTCACAAAAATCTTAAACTCATAACTATTAATTACAAGATAAAAGTAGAATTTGAGAAAAGGATTCCTTGCACGTCTCTAAAATTACAGAACGCATACAGATGGACATGTACACAGTCATAACAGTACACTGAAGGTCCGATGGTCAGATTATTTTTGTGGCCTGGTCAATTTAGACAGTCATGTAGTACATCTTACTAATGCACCACCAAATTATACCTTATGAATATAAATTTTTTCAAGTGACATATGTTTTTGTATGCACACATTATAATTTAAGAAATTGTTGTACAATGTAAATCAGCCTTAACAACCACTTCCCTTTTTTACTTTTGATACACATCATGCTTTGAAAGGTATTATATTATAATGTGTATTACAGTGATGGTCCCTACATGTAGCTATGCAGCCAGAAAAGCAAATGAAAAGAATATGTGAATCAAAGAAAATACACGACAGTTAAGTGAATTTACAATAATATCAACAACAACAACAAAAATCCATAAAAGAATTTTCGGATTACTGATATAAAATATAAATTGTTACTATGTGGGCATACAATGTACATGTACATTAATTTTGTACAAAGGTAATCAAGCAAGTACCTCATTCATAATGGAAGGCAAAACTCGTTCATCGAAGTCCAACCCAAGCTTTCTGTACATTTCAGGTAACATGGTAGCCTGTGGACGAGCCAGCACCCGAAGACCAATGTTTACCATCTGAAGATCTGGAAACAATAAAATGAACAAAAATTTACAAACATTACGTACAGTCAAAATTTGTTAGTATGGACACTGAGGGAGCCACAGAAAGTGTCCGTATAAACAAGGTGTCCATTACTAAGCACGTGTTGCACGTGTTCATGAAGCAGGGTTTGACTGTAGGACTGTTTTAGATGTATGCTAAGGAACAACTGTGAAAAGATTAGGAGTACATGTAAAAAGGCAAAGATTTAATTTCTTAACACCTGTACCTTTACTTCCAGTTGGAGAAACAATCTTCCTTGGTTTGGACCTAATGTCATAAATTATAGGGTACTGGAACCATGGAATCCTAACAAAAGAAAAAATATCATGTAATACATGTACATGTAATTATGCAATGTGTTCTGTGTGCTGTGGGAAATTCACAATATTATTTCTTTGGATGACTGCAACAATCAAAATAATGTGTAAACTACTGTATGTCTATTCTGAGTATACTTGACTGGAATTTCTAGTTTCATTCACAGACATGCAGAATCAATTTGGCATACAGTGATGTGTGGTCAGGTTTCCTAGGTTTGGCACAAATCTCCCAGTCTCCTGTAAGGGTCACCAAATCTCCCAGATAAAAGTGACTTGTGATTTTTCCTGTGCTTTAGCTCGGATTTTTCTGATTGGTTGAATCAAATTTCGCACGCGTCACAAACAATCAGAAGCACTACCCAGATCTGGGTAGTGACGTGTCATCAGTAAGAAATTTCTGCGCTTGTTTCTCAGATGTCGTTTGGCAGGGAAACCAGTGGTAGCGTCGCCAAATGTCAGCTGTTTTCTCAGGCTGAGACACATCTCTGATACTCATCTCTGATAAAAAGGAATGCATCACACACACACATGTAATGTTTTCATTGTGACAGTAGGTCAATAAGTTTGATCATGCAGTACTGTACCTGAAGTGAAGACCCTCAGTATAAATGTTGTCCTGTATGCCTCCAATTCTGCTAAAGATAATTGCCCTGTGTCCNACACATGTAATGTTTTCATTGTGACAGTAGGTCAATAAGTTTGATCATGCAGTACTGTACCTGAAGTGAAGACCCTCAGTATAAATGTTGTCCTGTATGCCTCCAATTCTGCTAAAGATAATTGCCCTGTGTCCCCCATCAACTATGAAATACACCATGAAACAGAAAGAGGGTGAGCTGGTACATTCTTGGCCAAAACATGCAGTGAAATTGAAGAAAACCTGCACTGTTCAATTCAGTGTACTCTACAATTTCAGTGTGCAAAGAAAGTAGTGTCCAGTAGCCCGGGACTAGTGGATTTTGCTACCGGGCTAGTGAATTCTCTTCTTAACAACTTGCCCGATGGGCAAGTGAAGTTTTTTGAGGAGTTCAAATTACATAAGAAGTATGTAATCAATCCTGCTCATCCAAACGTTTTTGGGGCTAGGTGAAATGAATTTTGGGCTAGTAAATGCTAGCCACAGCTTGCCCGAGTGGTAAGCTGTAAAATTGACTTTCTTTGCACCCTGAATTTGATAAGGCTATACCGTACCTCAAATTAATAGTCACCACTAAACTGTTGAAGCAAATAACTTTCAATAAGCTTAGACGGTGAAGAAGGATCTCAGACCCTTGAATTACGAGCGGATCTTAACACTTTTGCTAGGAACTGTCAGACAATCGGCTAAGAAATATATAAGCTTAAATATCACATCTATCTTGCATCATGCAAAAGCAATATGAACTCTTCATAGAAACTTGGGCACCGAACACATAAAGAAGATTACCTGTATAAATCGATTCCTTGACTCCATAAGCAACTGCTGCAGCTGCAGCAAGGAGTTTGAGCCCTGTTCCAACCCCTTTAGGAGCTTTTCCCATCCGACCAGCAAACTCAGTAAATTTGTCAGCCATCTTGCCTTCTTCACGTGTGCAAGAACCTCCAGGAGTGACGTAAGAATAAGGAAAGGTTACCAAGTCGAGAGGTTACCAAGCGCTCCCAAAACAACATGGCGGACAGCGGAGCACAAAGAGCGAGTCTAGAATTTTTTCAGTATTTGATAAATTCTCCTGAAAGGTGAGGCAATTTTACAGCGTCTGTATAGTGTTGAAGAGCTTCAGTTTACTGAAGGCTGATTTTTTTACATGACAGTTGCGTAGACGATAAAGTATGCGTGGTGGGAATCTTTGGAAAAGACAACGTTGGTTACAAATCGAAAGCTGTACATTTGAATGGAACCATCGGGAAAGAAGTCTTTAAGGTTTGCTTTAAATTGAATTGTGTTTTCAGATGAATTGGAACCTGCAACAACTGCCTAAACTTGCTAGTGATACTAAAATAATGTTCATTGAACGGTATTGAAGCTAGGTAAAGTTACGTTAATTACGGACTGTCATATTCCTGTTACAGTTTATTTATTATTATTATTATTATTATTATTATTATTATTATTATTATTATTATTATTATTATTATTATTATTAAAGTTATTATTCAATACATTAATGCAATCAGCAATCTCATGCTCTTTCATTTATTATAGTTATATCACAGGCAGACCACAGTCTGTCTGTTTGGCAGTTTATTGAAATCTGAGCATCAATAGTGCCAACCAGAGGCTGATTGGCTCTTGAAACAACAGGTTCTTTGTCTCAATGGTTGGCACATTTGAATAAATAAAAAAAAAGGATGTTTACAAACAAGAAATATTGCTATAGAACAAATACAGATGAACATTATGGCAGCTACAATTTACTCCAAAATACAGAATCCTGATTTGAACATAAATTGTTTCAATAAAAGTTCAAACGAAGTGTCAACTTTGTCATTTGTCATATTTTTTTCACTGTCCTGAGCGGTTTTAAGCATTATTTTGTGACATGATTATTTTATCCTGGCAATTACAACTAAAAAAGGAGACAAAGAAGCAGCAATCCGCCAGCGGCCAATGGCACAGTCCTCTTCAAGCTAGCAAAAACCATTAAATTTCTCAGCTCAAAAAAAAGGGCATCTGATCATTGAGTTATGTCTTCATACCCTAGCTGAATCTCAGCTCAGTCCTTCCAAAATTTTTCAAGAAAAGTGATCCTGAAGCTACAAGAGCATCTTTTTCAACTTCATCAGTGAAAAATGTGCAACCAGTGGAATTTGATGGACTGATGCCCAGATTTCAATAACAACTATGGTCACACAAACTGGTGGGATTAAGCTTACCTCTTATGTTTTGAGCCAGAATCTCTAGAATATTTGGTATAATGAAAATCAACACTTACTTATGAATATTGTTATTTGTGTATTGTTTTTGTTTGTTTGTTTGTTTGTAGATTGACTTCCTGGATAGCATGTTTAAAAACAAGGATGCACATGAGTTCTCTGTAAGTATAAATGACAGAGGAATGTAGTTATAACCTGAGATAATAATCTCAGCGAATGCAACACATGCATGATAAAATTTAGAAAATAGTGAATAAATATTAGAAATTAACTTATAACAGGTGTGTATTGAATAGAGTTTTAAGCTTTGACTACTGAGGTCATAGTAGATTATGGCGATTATAGTGATAAGAAATCTCAGGAGCTCAGAATATTGTTTTGTGCTTTTAGTTTTGGTCAGATTGAATTCTTTCTCTTCTTTAAGAGACCATTAAAAAGGAAACATAATTTTTTTTATTTGTTTATATATTGTGCCAAGAAAAAAAAAAATTACCAGCCATAAACCATTGGACATTTTCAATAATTGATCGCATCACATATTTTTGTTTGGTGATTGATTTCATTATAAGCGATGATTGGTACACCACGACTCCTTTATTTTGTAAAATTTTGTACTATTTTATAAATATATCATGTGTTAATTTAGTTTTTATTTAAAATTTAGTGCTTCTTTTTTTATCTTACAGTGTGATATTGATGTCTACCATGATGTTGAACAGAGAATAATTTATTTACACCTTGTCTCCATTTATGACATTTCAAGACTGCTGCAACTTTGTAAACAAGCACCACAAGAAGTAGAAAATGCGGTATGTTCATGAAAATCCCAGTAAACAATTAAATTAAAAAATGTAATTTATATTCATGTGTATCTGATTGATAAAGATTATGTATTCATTTAGTCCAAAAGGATGTTTGTTGATTTTTCTAAAAAATTGTATGTCTATAGTCGAACCCCGGCTGTTAATACAGGTGGTATTCACCATGTATGGGACTGTTAATTAACAGTGTCCAGATTAACGGGGTGTTTGTATTATGAGGACACCACTTTCTGTCCTTGTTTATTCCTTGTTCTCATTAATGTTGTACGGGCTTGTGGGCGGGAGGTCTAGATTTACAATGATGAAGTAATGTGGTATCAGTGGAAGCCCCTGGGCATCCCAGCAAACTGCCTGCATCTGCTAAGAGATGTAGTCGTTAATACCGGCTTCTTAAATTTATTTCAGCACATTTTTTTACAATTATGTCACGTGTACTTTAGTCTCAAATAAAGGAGTGGCTATAAACTAACTTTTATGTTCCAGGAGTCTCATCAATACTGGATGTCCCATGAATTTTACTATGCCTGTGCCCTCATGTTTCTTTTCTCTGTTTCTCACATCATTGTTGTAAGTAGAGCTTGCCTGTCCCTTATTTTTTTATTTAACTTTGGTAAAAGCTGGGGATATTTGGACTTGTATACAGTGTACACCTGTATGCAGGCCATCTGATAGGGTGTGATAAAAAATCAGAAATTGTGCGATATTTTCCATGTAGATTGTGCGATAAGATAGGACTATTATGCAATAAAATATGTGATTTTTTTAGGGCTAATTGACATTGTTTTACCAGGTTTCAAAGGAGAAAAACCACTTAAATGTTGTTTAATAGGCAATTTGAATGTAAAGGAATAAAAAAACATCTGTTTTAAAACAAAAGAGTTAAATTTGTCTGATTATTTTGACCCGCAAAAGAAAAAGGACACTTGCTTAATAGTACATGACGCCCTTACACCGCTGACCACACTGCTTGTTTCTGAAATCAAAATGGCTGCCCAGATATATGGCAGACACCGCGATTGAAGGTTTCAGTAGACTACGAGCAGTCTCTCTTTTTGCTGTAGTCCGTCGAGCAAAACATGAGACACACAAATGGCCAAGTGCGTGAGTGATCGCCCTCGTTTCACGCATCTTGCGGCTTCGCCACTCCCGCGCGCGTGCATTGCTCTCACTAAATCTGAAGAAAAAGGGTCACTGCTCACAACTAGTCTAAGGTTTCAGATGTCTTGCAAGACTTTTTCTAGTGGTAAATCACCTTAAATAACATTAAGATTGGGAAAATGTTTAATTAAAGTTAGAATTCATTGTTTACTTTACTTGAATTTAGCTTTTATTCACAAATTGTGCGATCGGATGCGATTTGAGGTCAATTGTGCAAAATCGCACCATCGCGTAATATCAGATTGCCTGTGTATATTATGACTGCAGGTCAAATTTGATTTCAGGATACTTTTGATTTAACCTTGCAGGTTGATTCTCAATTTCTTTGGTCTCCTAGCCCTTGACAACAAAGGAAATTCAGAACCAACCAACAGTGTAGTTTAGAAAATTTTACCAGGAATAAATTTGACCCCCACCACATACACGGGTTTAATAGGACATGAAATGAATAGTGTGTACATGTATTTTAAATTAAATCAATAAATTGAAACAATTTTAGTAAAATAAAATGTTACAAATGAAAAAAAAAATTAGGCCACATAAAAGAGATGTGATCCATAATATGATCACCAATTTCAGGTTTAAAAATTCCTTGGTGTTCTTGTTTTTGTTGTTTTCATGCATGTTGCCTTCCTTTAATAAGCTCCTGTCTTGTTTGTGTGATGAAGGAGAATATCAGCTGGGGAATAATCAAAGCCAATCAGAAACCAAGAAATACATGTATTTTTATTGAAGAATAATAATGGTGCAAATCAGGGGCACCCAACCAGAATATAGTTCAAAACCACTTAAACATAGCATTGTTGAACGTATTTTAGTATTTAAAATGGTAGATATAGGCATATTTTTATCCGCTAAAAATTTTTCATCTGTTCGGATTTCCTAGCTGAAAGTCTAGTGATCTGAAAATTATAGGGATCAAAACTTACTTTTTCGAAAATTTCAGCCAGAAAAAAAAGGCTCCCAAAAATTCTAGGTGACCTTTTTAGGATTAAGCCATTACAAATGGGCAATTATACTATTTTTTAGATGTTCGAAAGTCCTAGGAGAGGCGGGAAGCAAGAAATTTTACAACAAATGTTCCGTAAATTCTAGATCTCAAATCGTCTTCTGAACAGATATTTTCCAAAAATTGAAGTTGGGTGCCCCTGACAAAATCAATGTATGCTAGTGATTAGGTACATGTATTTGGTACATCACTTGCATGCATGATTTTAATAGTAACCATAACTATGCTTTCATATTTTTTTTTAAGGTCTTGCATCCCTCACAAACATTTGATCTGAATTACATTAGATTATTTCGCACTTTAGCTTCCACAAGGTTAGTACAAACTACAAAACTCAAAAATATACAGCAGGTAATAAGACTACAATCTATTTTTTTTTTCACCCTATTTACTAGTATATAACTTAAATATAGACTTTGTTTTTACCATATCAAGCGCATTATGCATAATCAATCTCAGACCCCTCCACATTTTTCAACTTTTGACTGGGACAAGTGAGTGAACATCTGTGGACATGGGTATAAAGAACACCTTAAAACAAGTTAAGTTGCCAAGTTTGGAACTGATTCGTTGAAAACTAACAAGGAAATAGCTCTGCAAAGTCATGGAATTTTGTACAGATTTGTATTTAAATGTCTGTAAAATTCTGAGAATTTGTGGAGCTACATGTATAATCTTTTTTCTCTTTGGATGTACCACCTTATAGTTTAAA